TCCAGAAGTAGATGCCAAATGGATTTGCGTGGCCAGACTAAAAGGCGACGTGAGATGGCTAATCCCCACTTACTCCACCTACACTGCCGTCCCATGCCATCACATCTCATAGGCCTGTTGTCTCGGAGACATGGCGCCACGGTTGATTCAAGCGAACATGAGCAAAAAACGCTTGGCTGAGCATAGCTGGTAACCCATTCTGTAATGTTTGGCATCCACTCTGCCAAAGCAGGCAGTGCGATTCATTTTTTTAAAGGAAGCTGAGGCTGAATTTGCCCCTACAGGAATGGAGAAGCAGGTGCACCTTCTGAGTCATCAGTGACTGGCTTCCAGCTCTTTCTCTTGTGTTTCACTTTCAGATTACACTCATAATTTGGCTCATGACATTTATTGGTATTGGGATAAAAAGTGGCTTGACAGTGACCAAATGATTACCTTTCCCAGAAGTGCCATCGTGCTCATCCAGAACTGGTCTGCTTACATCCAGTATAAAGTTGCATAGATAGATATGTGAAAAATAAAAGTGAATTGCATATCAATCAATAATATTAAACCTGCTTTAGTGCCATATAATTCATGTCCAGGAAATTTTGAACTTCATTACATAAATTCCAGACATCATTGATTTTTGTGGGGTTTTTTTTCGAGTGACAATCACGTGATGCTAGTTTTCCCTTCCTTTTGTGGCATCCTCCATCCCAATCACTATGGCCAAGAAGCCAAGCCTGCAAACAGATTCAGATTCAGCACTGATCCATGGTGTGGGCCGCTCTGGATGGTGAGGGAGTAATTAGGAAGATGAGTGAGTGCACTGCTGTGCTCCCGGCTTGCCACGGGGGCCGTGTCGGGTACCCTCTGGTTCTAATCACCTGCGTGCTGCAGCGTTATTAATAACCATCATTGAACTGGAGGGGGTGACAGAAGACCTTCACCCAGGGGTGTCACTGAGTCACACTGTCTGCCTGGGGGTGTTAGCCCCCTGCTACGACCCCAAGACCTGCCGATCACTGGACTGGAGAGACGGTCACTCTAAGTGAGGCTAACTATCAGCGGCTAAAAAAAAATCATGCATCCTGAAGCACTCAGTTACGAACACATTGGTAAGAGGCATGAAATAATAAAATATATATATAATAGTACAGCGGGGAAACCTGGCTGTCAATCAAAGCCATCAATTGTGAACTAATGAACAGTTGCTCAAACATGATGATTTCTCAATGACACCCTGCTTCTACCAGTTCCTTGGTCCCATTTTGGTGGGATTAATCATCAGTAGCCTCCTGGTTCTTGCGACTAATGGGCAAACATGAGTATGTTTGACAGGAGAAGGATTTAAAGGGGTCAACAGCACATCACCCATGTGACCTACCCAATATGTCGTTATAAAAATATAAATGACATTTTACCCATGTTTACACCGCCAATACCGTGTTTTCAATCTTAGGATGAGACTTTTTGTCTAACTGTTCAGTTCAGAGGCTCAAATCATGTATGGTGGCTATGGCATGATGGAGAGTACAGCCCCAAGGTCCACGATGTGAGATGGGGGTACCTGTATTTCAGAGGTGGGGGGCATATGGTGCTGTGGACCCAGGTAAACACTGGCAGTGTAGCATGTGTGGCTTTTTCTTAGTCCTCCTCTGCTTGCTGCTGTTGCCACAACTCTGCACCATGAGTTGTTGCCAACTCTGGAGACCAGCAGCCTTGATGATCAGTGGGAGTTTAGATGGCTGGTGACCATGGAGCAGCCAGTGCTGTGGAGTATTGGGCTGATATCTCGGCAGGAAAGAGTGGGGTCTACATTTCTGATCTCCCCGTTTGCTACTAGTCCCTTCAAGACCTGTTTGACGCTCCTCTAGTTCTCCTCCCTTTCACTGACACCCTCCTACTCAAGCCGATCACCACAGGATCTGCACTAGTGCTGGGAGATGGGATTATGTGAGCGGGTCTGCTCCTCCTGATGTACTTCTTGGAATTCTTTCTGGTCCACAAGGGTAATCTCACATTGTTCCTCAGCTCTGCATCAAAAACAAACACGTCGAACATTCTCGTGCAAAATCCATTATTGACATTGCGATTAATGTCTTTTTCATCAAGACCATCATCATTATCAACATGAAAACACTGCTGCAGTGCTTAACTGACAAATAAGCCCACTGCAATAATTAAACATGAGTGTTTAGTTGAATCAGGTCTGTTTGCCCTGTTTTATTTCCCAAGCGTGGGGCAGATGCTATCCCCTGGTATGAATATTTAACAAGGTACTTGTTAGGCACCAACTCTGCGGAGAAGCTCCGATGGGGAACAGACGGCACACCTGAATGAGGTGGCACTTCCTCAGACGTAGGCGGACAGATGGCTGCCCATTTGTGTGGGCAATGTGGGGGACTCTCCAGCTCCGGCCACACATAAGGCAACGTGTGGATGCCGCAAGATGGCGACGGGTGGACAAGGCCCACCCATGCGAAAACACAAACACTTTTTTCATCACAGCTCTAATAATACCTACATGATGAAAATGTAATTACAACAAAAATAAACCATGCGTTAAAAAATGCAACTTCTACTTCAACGTGAACTGACCAGTCTTGCAGGTCAGGGACTCAACGTTGTCATTCACCATTTAGAACATAAGAACATACTACAAATTTGTAGCTGAAACGGATTGTTTATGCCAAAGGACCATACAGCTCTTTTAAAGCTCTCAATTATCTACTGCAGCTCTTGCATTGCCTGTTTTCAGCAGCTAGAGCTGTGCTCAGGATGACCTCACTCTTGCAGGGTTGCCAACTCTCGCACATCTGGCATGACACTCACGTTTTCAGACTCTCACACTCATGCAAGAAATCTTATGTCAAATCTATATCATTCCATTATAAACCTAAAATTACCTACATCAAAAACGTAGGGGCAGACTATTTACAAAGTAATAAACCTGTTACATACATGTAAATGTGTGTGCGTGTGTGTGCAGACTTGTCTTAAATTGAAAATCTCACTCTAACCAAAGTTGACAACCCAGCTCATTCCATCCTCTGATGCACTGTGTGATTGTGTAATAACTGGAAGATCCGCAGCCATATTCGTTCATTCCAATGAGTCCAAACACAGGCTACTTTTGGTCCAATGAACCCTCTAACATATATAAAAGAAAACTCTTTCACACCTGCTTTAGGGTCGGTCCAACCAGATCGGAGTAGAGTCTCAGAACAGCAGGAGCGTCAAAGGGGCTTGGAAACTCTAGTATATTCCGGGGCCTTGCATTACACAAGTCCCCCGGAATAGGAAAACACAAATGTATACGTTTGGGAAGCATTATACATCCCCTCAGTAAATTCCACCATTGGGGACACGCCCCCAACCTCTGACCCAAGGTGACATTTTGTGAAGGGGCCCAGAATTTCCAGCTATGCCCCTCCAGAACATTCCCAGCTCCAGTAAGCATACAGTGATTTATTTCTGCTAATACGATCGGTTTTGTTTCGCTTTCATTGCATAATCAATAATACCATTTATCCAAATGTTTGATTCTGTTGGTTTATATGGTAACTAAGACAAAGACAACCACATGAACCTCATATAGATCTTTCAGCACATATGAGCTGGCTTAAAGTGAAATAATGAACTATGGATATCTTGGTTAAATGTATACTTTAATCAACATGCCTTGTATGTATCCATTCATAAGGGCTGAGCAGTCAGCACAGTAGGGTGTGGGTTCTAATCCCACTGCAGCCCTGTCAATGTGAAGTTTTCATGTTCACCCTGCAGGTTTTCGCTGCCTCATGTAGTTTCTTCCTGCAGTCCAAAAGCATGTGGTTAGATGAACTGGTTCTCCTAAATTGCCCATAGCCTGTGATTCTGCGTCTGTGCCCTGCGATGGATGCATGTCCAGGAAGCTCCCCGCCTCTTTCCTTGTGCTTACTGGGACAGGCTCCAATTGCACTATGATCCAGTATTCGATAAGCAGTCTGGAAGATAGATTTTTTTTTTTAATTTCTCAGATAATTTAAAAAAATGTACATAGTGCAAAATACATTATAGACCCGAAAGGGAATCCAGAGACCATGTGACTTTCAATGAAAATTCAATCACAAATCCAACACATTAAACAAAGTAGGGTAGAATCATAAACTTATACACAGTAATGTGAAGTGTCACACATAGAATCAAGAAGATAATACACCAAGCATTGAGTTCTTAGATGCCGGACTAATTTGGCTGCATGGAAAATCGCGTACTTGGCAGTTATTTGACTTTATATTGTATTGATTGCACGATGGGTGGTTATCGCCAACCCACATGGCATTCGTTCTCATAAATCGCTTTGCAACAGATGATCCAGAAAAACGAAACACCGCGGGACGCAGATAATTTCATTTGGGAGTGTGGGTGAATCGATGGCTGTTTTGTTTACAAGGATTTGTATATGACTTTTGAAGAGTGTTTCGTTTCATTACGCAGTTGTTTTTTCATCAGGGGTATGAGGACCTAATAACGAGTTACTCGTGAAGCACAAGAAAATAGCATTAGGATTTTGTCGACATGGCGTTAGGGATAAAATAAACATGTAGTTGGAGACAAAATTACTTTATGTGAGAACGCGAATTTCTACTGTATTTCTTTTTTATATGACACGCACTTTCCCTCGACGACCAATTCGATTTTTTCAGTTTTGCTTTTTTAAATAAACAAATAAATAATAATAATAATAATAATAATAATAATAATAATAATAATCAAAATAATCATCATCGTCATCATCATTTTAACTAGTACTGACTTTAATTAATACGAAAATGAAAATATGACATACACATACATGAGTTCATTGCTCGGAAATGTATTTAATTTAGAATCCCTTTGGTTGACCATACTTAACGCACCACAACGTTGGAGACGCCGCGAGAGTGAGCGCGCGCGAGAAAGAGAGAGAGAGAGAGAGAGAGAGAGAGAGAGCGTGAGTGAGAGAGAGAGAGAGAGAGAGAGAGAGAGACGGCCGGAGAGATACCGAGAGGCTGTCCGCGCTCTGCAGTCTGACTGCTCGCGGGGCTGAGACAAGAAATACTGTAGCGTATGATTTTTGGAAAAAAAAATATCCATTAAAACTCACAAAACAAGCCCAACTGTCAAGAAGACAGTGAACTTGAACAGGTAACTGACGCAGAACGCTTCCAATCTGAGGCGATAGCTGCTTTTTGACAGCCCTGCCATTCGTTTATTGTAGGGACGGCTAAATTTATGGATTAACAATAACGATAAAGCAATTACTGGAAACAATTATAAATAAAAACTCAAGTGAAAAAGAAGAAGAGGTTTTTCTCCGGGTCCTAGTCAAATTGTAATTACCGAAATGAGAGGGATTTATGTCAACAACGGTTGAGGGCAGATAAGTAACCGCTATCCTCCTTTCCCCTCTTTCTTTTTTTTCGGTATGAAATCTTTCCCCCGAAATTTAGCGAACCCCGCGGTCTACATGAGATGGTTCAGTCCGGCTGCAGAAGCGGAGTCTCAATGCATTGGGATTTTTCTCAGCTCCGGCACAAAGTGAATCTTCCTTTTAAAACCATCTGATAACGTGCCTGCCACAAAAAAAGAGGCTGCCATGAGCCCCGCTCTGAATCCGGACGGAGTGGAAAGGACAACATGCAGATGCGCATATAACGGCACCAGAAAAGTGGTCGGACTAAGGATTTTTGCGCTAATGAAGGTGGGAATACAAGCGCACTATTGGAGCCGGGTTCTCATCCTCTATATGGGCTTGCTGACTGCATCTGTTAAGGGTAAGTTTCCGCTTTCCTTGTCGTCCCCCTTAAGCGAAAAGCGCAGTGCTTGTTGACACCTTATTTTCCCTCGTTTGCTTTGCCTAAAGTTCGTCCGAGATGTACGGTTTGCATTTCCAGTTGCTAGAAATCTTGCGGTAACCCCCCTTTTTTCCCACCCGTCTTTGAGGCAACACTGTTTTCTGACTAAATGGGTGTTCTCACTTAACGGTGCGAAAAACTCCATCTATATGGCGGTTTTGTAATTTTATTTTCTATCGCCGCTTGTTCACAGTGCGGTAGCTCTTCGTGTTACAATGGGGATGTGTCAGCCATGAAAGTTGGATGTGCTGTTTGCATGTATCCGTATGTATTTACCGGTGATGCCCGTTCTTGAGTCGTTTCGCCCCCTCCCCTTTCGCTCTTATTTTAAACATCGTGCTTTGGTTACGTTCAGCACCGTATTTCCCCGGTTTGTTTTCTGATGCGTCCCTGTTGTGCCGACACGTTGATATTGCATTCCCACATCCCTCATCTTGCTTTTACTTACGTGTTGTGTTGTACCGATCGTCGGCAATATATAAATTATTTATGCGGTGACTTACAAGCTTAGGAAAGTGACCGATTTATTTGGATTCGACAGAAACACGTAACTTGACATTTCAGCCGTAAAACGAAGTTGAAAATTTACAGAACATCATGTCAAAAAGTCACCAGTTCCCGATGTGAAAAACTAGCTCTATGTACCTGGTGTATGTTTTTTCTGTTAAAATAATATGATAGCTTTTAAATACCTAATCATGATGCAGAAGAAAAAAATTAAACATCTTTTTAAAAAAAAAAAAAAAAAAAAAAAAAAAACAAAAAAACGTGGATATGTTGGGGTATATTTGGGTGAACACATCTTTAGTTCTTAAGGTGAATACATTCCTTTATAAACTGTGGCGTTACCGTGATTTACCTGGGGGGCTATTGAGACACGATAGAGGGTTTGAGAGCGAATTGAATTAGAAGAAAAAAACTTTTTTGCTTGTATGTTATGCAATACAAAGTTTGAGTAGCTTAAATGTTTTTCTGTCAATATTAAATATAAATTCTCTCACCCCGCCGACAACCTGTAACCTTCTTTCTGTAAAACGGGTTCACTTTAAAGGATGTTTCAATGTTTTTTATTTTTAATGCCTCAAACTATGCGCACATCGACATATATAGATATCATTTCCAGCATCGTATGCAGTTTGTAGGGTACTTATTTGAATTAAGTTCGAATGACAATGGTGAAGCGTTTGATCAAACAGCACTACATTTTCTGACACCTTATTCGTATTTATATAGCGTCTGCTTTCTTTCCACCGAAATTAAAAGGAGCTGGGGAAGCTTAACCTTGAAAGAAATCAGTTACATGCTGGGATTTCTTAATAAGAATATTTTTAGACACATGAAAAACCTGCCCGGATAGAATATGGGATACATAAAAGCCTTTTTGGACATCGCAACAGTGCCGGTATTGTGTGAGTGTATTAATGAGATTTTGGATTGGGAACCGAGTACGTACACTGGTATAACTGTTTGAGTATATATTGTACAGATTTGACAAAATTCACGATGTGAAATATGCGCGAGGTTTCCTCGCGTTTCCATTTGCAAGAACAGTACTGTGAACCTTTTAATATGCTGCGCCCGTTGCTTCTGCCGTTCCCAAGCAGTTGCCGTATCCTCCCATTGAGCGGCACCAAAGCTTCACCGTAGGTCTGCGAGGAAAGCCGAGGTTTTCTGCGTGGGTTTTACCTAAAATCTTCGGCGTTGGCGGCACCGCGAAGCACATCTCGCCAATCTTCGGCGTCTTCTGAGACGGACGAAGCCCAGTAATTCCCATAAATTCTGCAAGCACACGACGTAGAAGAAACGCCGGCAACAGCTTGGCGCGATTACGTTTGTTTTGCCGCTTCAGTAGTACACCGAATTAAATCTGACGATTTTTGTGCCCACAAATGTATCAAAGACTCTCGTTGTAGAAGATACCTTATATCAAATAGGTTTCTTTGACAACGAGATTATAGTAACCCGTGTACTCAGTTCTAAGACCTTTCTTGCATTACTGAGAAGACATCTTTCAGATTATATATTTCAGATGAATGAACGTGTTTCGTTAGATAGAACTAGGCATTATTATAGCAACCGCTATTATTATTATTATTATTACTTGTTTTGTTCTGTTTGTTGATCATGATATTGTTAACAACAATAATAATAATAATAATAATAATAATAATAATAATAATAATAACCTCTACTACTATTACTCCTTAAAGTGCTCCATAAATAATGTCTAGTGAGTAAACAAGATCAGTATTGCTATAACACTCAATTAAGTTTACAGAAAAGGTTTGGGTGAATCATGGTCAAACCACTCCACATGTAATTAGCTGCTTTGTCACCTGTGCTGAAGAGTGGCATCTAGAGTGATACTGGATGCTCATTGACTGCCATACCATCTGGTAGCTTATGCTTATTTTTGTTGTTTTGTTCCCTCAGTAAGGCAGCATATCCCCTGCATATATCTGTTGAGTCAATTCTTTGGCTCATAGCTCAGGATACATATCTGCTTAATGTTAGAAAATTACAGATGCTTCGTCTGAGTATTTATGATGCAACACGGTGAAACATCTTTAGGAACATCCAAACTGACAGAAAGGCAGTCGCAGTTCTTTTAAACCAGACATGGGGAGCGTCTGTTGACATATTCAAATTGGTCCCTGCTCCCAAGTGGTCTGCATCAGTACGTCGTCCTTTCAGACTGTATTTGAGAGCATTATTATGCCGACTTTGATGGCACCATGAGATCTGTGAAGACCTTATGCTTAGCAAGGTCCTCTTGTACTTTATGTTCATGTATGTTCAGTTAACTTTAGGGTTAGGAGCCATACCACAACACATACCAATGTGCATGTGCTGTAGTAGGAGGTGTATAATATTACAATGTTTCATGACTGTTATCTAGTTGTGTCCCTAAAATCTTTGATCATTCTAAAGACATGCTTCGGTTCTTTTTTTATGTCTCTTTCAGTGAGGTTGCGTCCCTTCACCTTATTGATTTGCGGCCTTCCCCCTTGATTAAATTTAAAAGTTTTTGAGGCCAAACAAGAGAAATGCTTTCACTCAAGTCTAGGCGATTTGGCACATCTTTACTTTGTTTGACAAATTATGAAATGCCAGGGCTTTTGTTTGAAGATGTGTTTGATTTTTTGCTGTCTGTATTACTCTTAAATGCAAAAGAGAGATTTAACTTGTTAAATCACAGGTTGGAGGGATTACACTGTTGTTGTGCGGTATTAGCTACAGTTAATCCCAGAGGAGCCCATTTATGACCTTGCTCATGCTCATGGTGTCGTGCTTAATCCAGCTGGGTATTTTATATATAAGTTTGCAATTTTTTATGGAGGAGGTGGCTAATTGCCAGTAACTAAGCTCATTCCCTTCTTTATTGCCAATAATAGGAAATAAGCTCTCCATATTCCCAAAGGATGTAAGTCAACCCAATGGTTAGCGCCTTTCACATAAAACCAGTTAAGAGCTAACAGGGCCAACATAAGACAGCATTAGTGTAAATGATGCTCCTAGATTAAATGTCGCACAACACAGTGCTGTACTTAAATAGCTGCTCTCAGTGACTCACACACTGCAGAATAATTGAATAGTTGACTTTGCATTAAAATTAATAAAACTATGGAATAACAGCGTAATGAATGGGTGAGTGAAACAATTAGCCAGGGTAAATCCTTTATAAGCCTCATTGTAATTAGCATTATGTGAACAGTTCCATGTAGACAGGCATCTTTTTTTGAAAATAAACTGAATAACATTTCTAAGGAGTAATGGTGCAATGCACAAGCGGAGTGTGGGTTTTTCAGCGCAGCGGGAATGTCAGAATCCGCGTAAGTGTGGCACATTTCATTGGTCACCAAAAACGTGAACTTTCTGGGGGTCCCCGAGTACTGGGTTATGAAACACTGCTGTATGGTGAGTGACATTGGAGGAGTCAAATGCTTTCAGAACCTTGGACAGCGGCAGGCTAGCCGCAACTAGATTCAGGACTATGGACAACTCCGTGATCGGATGACCCCTTGAACAGGGCCTTTTCTGGAGTGTTTAATAAAGAGAGCTTTGGGGCAATGTCCTGTAGCATCACAGGCAGTGAGGGTGCATCATGGCATACCCCAGGCACAGTTTACCATTTCAGTTACCCTATAGTTTTTTGTGTTAGTCCAGTTGGCCCATGAATCCTGCCACTACCTGCTGCCCAAACACAAACCACGCTAACCATTAAGAGGGCCTAAGACTTTTTCTGGAGCACCAGCATGGGTCTCAGTCTGGTGGATGCCTCCCCCTTCCCCGAAGGCACCCCAATACTATGTAGTACTTCCTGGCGTATTTGTTCATTCTTGTCCCAGTGGTAGGAATGCTAACGAGGAACATACTGCAGATGGGGGGGGGGGGTTCCATGCTGTGTCTGCTCCACCTGTATCTCCCTGTGGCATATTAGAGGCCACTAGCAGTGGGAGAGCAGCAAAGGCACAATTGCACGTGTGTATAATTTACCGGTATAGGTCACCAATACCAGCGCTGGTGTGTTGTTCACACAGCCAAAGACTGAAACTGGCTGGCATTCCTGACAGCAGGACTGCTCAAAGTCCATCCTGAACATGTGGGCGGCTTATTTTATTTCTGCTGTCACATTACCCAAGCAGACTGTCAGAAGGGCGAGAAACCTGGTGTCTGGGCTGACGTCCCGGGTGTTTTAGAGTGTTGACAATCCGGTTATCGTCGACTCTCCCAGCGGCAGGAAGAGCAGAACATGCCGGGGACCGTGGAAAATGGGGATGCAAGTGGCATTCGGCTGCTCCCAGTGGCGTTACTCCTCACAGGGTTTTCCCAGTAGCCCCCTCATCACTCCAGGGGTTCTTTCCTGGTTTGTGCCAGGCTTCGCATCATCTTACTGTCAATGGACTGGAGGTCCCAGG